GTGTGGTAGTCCGGAGCTGCTTTCCTCGCCGGCATTTTACAGGAAAGGATTTATTGCACCACAATAAGCATCTATGTATTTCCAGCAAGCATTTTTGCATCATTATTCACTCAGCAATTCAGATGGGAATATAGAGGTGACAGCTTGCCAATTTTTCATTCCCACAAACATTCCGGATGTGAACGTCTTAATCTGAAATCACTGCATTAATTACAAGGGGGTGGGAGGGTGGGCAAAGTTAGCACGGTTAGCACGTTTTTGACGATGCTCACATCTTTGAAAAACTATGCTAAATGGACAGCTCCGACAGTGCAGATGGGATGCTTGACTCAGCCTGCTGGAGGGGCGCGGGAGAGGCACAGGCTCACAGAAGCAACCACGTTCTGCTCCTGCTCACTCTGAGGCTTTTCCACCTTTGGGGAAATGTTCACATCTGTGCAAGCCAAGATGGTACTTTTCCTCATTTAACATTCCCTTTGAAGGCTCCAGAGAACTCACTAAAGCAATGAATAGCCCATGCCTAAACCATCAGTTATTAGGTAGCTAGTCTGTGCCCAGTGCACTAACCTGTGATCCTGAGTTAGTCATTCTCTGAGGAGTGCTTTCTGCGATTGTCTAACTCTGGTGTGTTTGTGTAGGTTATTGTTTGTCTACCCAGCTAGAATTTGATTCCTATGAGGAGAGGAATCCTGCACTTTGTCCACAGCTGAATACCCATCACCAAAAACTGTGCCTAGTTGTGGCAAGATAAATGGTTACTAGATGAATGAAGGAGAGCATGCCAGATGATGAGGTAAATTAAAGAATGATGAGACACATTCCCTGATATCAGTGCTAATCTAGTTGTAGAGCAAACTATAGGAAACAGAGCCTGCAAATAAAAGCAGGGCATCGGACACTCTGGGGTCTTCCTTGGAGTGTGCTGTGTGTGATGGTTGCTGCTATCTGTGCAGGAGGAGAGAGACTGTTCTGCTGGCATCCCACCTCCAACCCTAACTGGTAAGAATAAGCTCACCCTCCCTTGCACATGCTTTCACAGCCCAACTTTGCACACTCTGCCTCCTCTCTCTCTGTTCCTCTTGTTTGGGTCTCATGGCTGAGGTTCAAGGCTTTCCTGGCTGTCATTGGTGCCATTCGGTTTGTATCCTTCCTTCCCATTTCCATTAAATAGCATCCATAGATGGGCTTGATACACATGCTCTCCTGGAAGAAATATCTTCATTCATATATCTCAAATAGTGTTGTACAACCCTGTGACTATTAATGGAAATTTAATAGAATCATGTTGCGATTTTTAAGATTTGGGGAATATAGAGGAAAACTATGTCCATAATATTTTTTTCCAAGCCTCCTGTGTGCTCCTATGTATTTAAGCACCCCAGAAACAAGCCTAGTACACAACAGGGATTTCTTCCAAATTCATTTGACCATAGCGCCTTTCTATCTGATATGTGTACTATTGTCTGTCACTAGAATGTAGTTCAGAAAATACTGAGCCTGTAAGCTTTGTAGGGAGAAGGACATGTAGAGGTTGGTAGTTTGAGCAAGGCCCTTGGGAGTTTGAAGATTGACTATTCGATCACTGCAAATTGATCCGGAATCAACATGATTAAGTTCATGAAACCAGACTATAGGGGATCAAAAGAGAGAAAATCAAGAAGGTTTCATGGAAGAGGTGGAATGGAGTTGCATTTCAAATATTAAAAATTTAGAAAGGAAAAACATATGACATTTCAAGGGTAGGCAAAAGTCAAAGACACGGAGATGCAGGACTATGTTGCTTTTAAGTTTTAATTTACTTAGCTTCCTGAAAATTCAGTTAGATTTTGATTAATGTGTCCCAACCCCCAGCCCTATCCTCTTCTGTTGATCTAGTGTCTGAGCATCACTAAGATAGGATTCAATACAAGCGGGTTTTGTTAAGAGAATGCCTGTGTGATAGAAAATGGAATGAACGCAGGGAAAGCCATCAGACCACTGCACAAGTCTGAACCCAGGAGATGAGGGCAGGAAAGAGAGTCATCCTAAGCTACCAGGAAGGGTAGGCAAGGAACCAGGAAGCCCTCACATCAGCAACGGCCATGGACAGAGCTTTTCATCTCCCAGGTCTGGCTTTGGCTACATATTTCTATTGCATGGGCAGCACATGCCTGACACAGCCGGGGTACAACCTGGCAGCCTGGTACACACCTGGATGCTGGGGCACAACCTGGCAGACTGGTACACACCTGGATGCCGGGGCACAACCTGGCAGCCTGGTACACACCTGGATGCTAGGGCACAAACCTGGCAGCCTGGG